CTTTTGAAACCTAAAGGCCTTCGAGTTGGGAAGCGCTTCAGCTATTTCAATCGGATACCTTAGGTTAGTGTAAGATGTAATTGAAAAAGGGGAGGCGATCATACCTTAGTGCTGATGGCGCTTCAGCCGTTAATATGTGTCGATCGACTATCATGAGGAAGCGGTACGGCCCTTGCATCGTTTAGTTCGGACTTAGACAAGGGCGTAGCTCGCTATCGCTATTCTACTGTTTAATAATCCTTTGGCTCCTTCGAGGGAAGAGGCACTGGTGTCGGCGTTACATCGTGCACTATGAACATTTCTCTTGCCACATGCTACTCCCTGTAGACGGTTTTAATCCCCTTCTTTTCAGGAATTTCATCATTTGATGGAGGGTTGATGGTACTGCTCTCATGCAGTGTATCCATGGCCTTCCGAGCAAGGCATTGTACCTCATGTCTCCTGCGATGACATGGAATTTGGCATTTTGAGTTGTGCTGGCCAGGTTGACTGGGAGGGTGATTTCCTCTTTGGTTATTTTGCTCGCCATGTTGAATCTATTGTGGACTCGAGAGGCGGGCACGATTTGGTCGAGCAGCCCGAGTTGCTCTACCATTCTCGACCGGATAATGTTGGCCGAGCTACATGGATCCACGAGTACACATTTAACTTGAAATGTATTTACAAGGAAAAAGATTACCAATACGTCGTTGTGAGGTTGAGACAAGGTCTCGCTGTCCTCATCGCTGAATGTGAGGGCATCCTCGGGTATGTAACCCCGAGTTCATTTTTCTCTGGTCATGGATATTTTTGTTCTTCTGATCGTGGGTTCCTTTGGTTCGTCGATGCCTCCCAAGATCATGTGGATGACGTGCTGTGGCTCAATTGTTTCGTTATTCTTTGTCGTCTCTCTTTCCCAGAACTGGTTTTTGGCTCGGTCGCTGAGGAATTCTCTGAGGTGACCTTTTATTTGTAGTCAGGCTACTTCTTCTCGGAGCTGGTGGCAATCTTCGGTTCTGTGGCCGTGCGTGTTGTTAAATTCACACACTAAGTTATGATTTCTTTGTGAAGGATCTGATTGTACAGGCCTGGGCCACCTGGCGTCTCTGATTTTATCGATGGCGAACATAATGTCTGATACTTCGACGTTGAGGTTGTGTTCCGACAAGCGAGGTGCCTCCGCTGGCCCTATGTGCCTATCAAATGCGACTCTGTTGACTAGTCCCCGAGGATTCTGTCCTCGATACATCCTTCGATCATTGCGGGGTATGTTGCGCCTCGGGGCGTTTCTCCTGTCTTCAATGTATGGCTGGTACCTTTTTTTGTTTGGCCTTGGCTCCTTCACCAAAATCCTGCTTGGGTACACCGAGCACGAAGGGGCTCCTAATTGGTCGTCCTCGACCCTAATTTTCGACTGGTATCGGTTGTGAACGTCCGACCAAGTTGCAGTGGGATATTCAACCAGATTCTATTTTAGCTACTTCGAAGCCACCGAGCTTCGTTCATTCAGGCCTTGAGTAAAGGCCTATACCACCCAGTCATCGGCGACTGGTGGCAGTTCCATTCATTCCAATTGAAAGCGAGATACGAACTCTCGCAGCATCTCATTCTCCCTCTGCTTAATCTTGAAGACGTCGGATTTCCTTGTTGCTACTTTGATGGTACCAGCATGTGCCTTAATGAAAGAATCCGCTAGCATGACAAATAAATCTATCGAGTTTGGGTCCAGGTTGTGATACCACATCATTGCCCCTTTAGAAAGCGTTTCCCCGAACTTCTTCAGCAAGACGGACTCGATCTCATCGTCCCTCAGGTCGTTGCCTTTCACCGCACAGGTGTAAGCAGTAACATGCTCATTGGGATCCGAGGTTCCGTTATACTTCGGAAGGTCGGGCATACTGAACTTCTTTGGAATGGGTTTCGGGGCCGCTTCCTGTGGGAACGGCTTCTGTACGAACTTCTTTAAATCCGCACCTTTTAAGATCGGGGGTGCGCCCGGAATTTTGTCGACCCTGTAATTGTAGGTCTCGACCTTCTAGTCGTTGGCCTCTATTTTCTTCTCGCCTGATTCGATCCTCCTCGTGAGGTCCTAGAGCATCTTTACGATGGCGGGGTCGGCTGCCGACCCATTGTTGATTGACCTCTCTAGTACCTGCTCGGCTGGGGGAGCCGTCCCCGGTGCTACCGTGCTAGGAGTTTTCTGGTGCCTGCAACATTTCAAAAATAACGTGAAGGATAACCTCCCGTTCTTCCCTAGCAGGGGTTTTCTGGGCTTCTTGTTTGTCGCCTTGGTGCATGCTCCTGTTGGTGTAGGAGCTTATTTCGACGTGTTGAGCGTCGCGTGAAACCGCGTCCATGGAGATCAGTTCAGGTGCGTTCTCAGGGTTTCATTGTGGTACACCATCACCTGGGACGTCAACACCATTTTCTCCATGGTCTTCAAGGTTGATATTTTCACGTGCGTTTACTGAGTTAGACATTTTGACCTGAAATCAAAGATCTTTGACAAGGAAAAGGGTAAAAAGATGACTTGCGTTACATGGTTAAACCAGCAAGAAAATAATCACAATTATTTTTAGCCCCACGATGGGCGCTAAATTATTTACCGTGAAAATGGTAGTTACAATTAGATTTAATTTTGTGGTTCTAAAAATACGTGATCTATTTTTATGCCGGTTGTTAAGCAGTTGATGCTATGTGGAAGACTTAGAAGCGAGATAAGAGCTTAAGAACGAGATATTAACCAAACCGTATCACTGTCAATCAGGGCCTCGAGATTGCTTATTCGGGGCCTCGAAGTCGAGTCGGATGCTCGCTGGGAGCTATCGAGGGTAGTCAATGGGCAACTAACAGTTGTAATAAGATCAATGACGGCTCTTTATATCCAATAATAAGCAATAAATGAAGAACAATAAATAAAACACAATGAATGTGAGCAATAAATGAAGTAGTAAAATCAAAAGAATATGTTAGAGAGCAGAGAGAATGTTCTTGTGTACTTTTTATTGAGCAACAGATGATCTACAAACGACAAGGGTTCCCCTTTATATATGAGGGGGAACATAGTAGAGAAGCATTAATAACAAAGATACGGGGCAGGTATACCTACACAATGCACTGATACGGGCCAAAGCTAGACCTCTAGGTTTTGTCAGTCCTAGTCCTGCGCCTAGGGAACTTCCCACTTTTTCACCGTAACCATTGACTTGTGCTGCCTCGAGATCGGGCAGCGATGTCCCCTCGAGATAAATCTCGACCGGGTCTCGAGCCTTTCGAAACCTTGCTCACGAGGTGTTGTAATGGCCGAAAATCGGGCCCTCCGATTTTACCGCATACGATATATATATATATATATATATATATATATATATATATATATATATATATATATATGGGGGTAATTGCAAAAATTTAAACATGATGCAAATTCCCTTCGGACCATAAGAGTTGTCTTTGGACGATGAAGTTGGTGTCCTTAGACTATGACGTCTTAGGCGATGGAGTGTGTGATAAGGGATTCACGGGCCATGGAATGGTGTCCTCAGGCCATGAGAATGGTGCCTCCGCATTATGACACCTTTGAATAATGATAAGCAATTTCAAGAGATCCTCAGGCCATGGCATGGTGTCTTCAGGCAATGAGGATGATTCCTTCAGACTATGATGCCTTCGGACAATGAGGCGATGTTTGAGCCCATGAAATGAAAGTATGCGGTAATATCGATTGTTTGATAGAGGAAACTGGTCATGCTTTTTCACATTTGAGAATGAGACAAGTCTAGACTTAGTATTGTATGAGACTAGGGCAGTGCTTAGCCCGATGTGAAGAAGGGAGACAATACTTAGTCTTATGTAAGGACAGGTAGTGCTTAGCCTTTTGCAATGGTGAGGCAGTTCTTAGCCTTTTGTAGTATGGAGGTAGTGCCTAGCCTTATGCAAGGAATTGAGACAACGCTTAGTCTAATGCAAAAAAAGGCAGTGCTTAGCCTCATGCAATAATGGAGACAGTGCTTAGTCTCATGCAAAGAATGTAGATAGTGTTTAGTCTCTTGCAAAGAATGGAGACAGTGTTTAGTCTCATGAAAGGAAAGGTAATGCTTGGCCTTATGCAATAATGGAGATAGTTCTTAGTCTCATGCAAAGAATGGAGACAGTTGTTAGTGTTTAGCTTGAAAGGAAAGGTAATGCTTGGCCAGTGCTTAGTCTCATGAAAGGAAAGGTAATGCTTGGCCAGTGTTTGGCCTTATGTGGTTATGAGGGCAGTTCTTAGCTCTATGCAAGAAGATCAATGATTGAATGCGAGAGGGCAAGATAGTGATCTTGTTGTGTGTATATATCTAAGGATGTTCCTATTATATCCATTGTGCGTGTATCCAAAGGAAGATTGTGAGTCTGGGGGGGAAGGTTGGTTCGTGCTCTCGATTCCTTGCTTTGCTTTTGTTCCTGTCTCGAGGTCCTGTTTGAGTCATCCCGGCTAACGTCTGTCTACTATAAATAAAATAAAATTTTTAAAAAACACGCATTTGTGATAAATCGTTTATATAAAAATGTAGTTGTTTGAAATATATGATAATGCATGAAAGCAAGTAATTTTGTCAAATTGGCGACTGTGACACGCTTCTGAGACATTGAAACCTCCTTAGCTCGAAATTTTGAGGATCCTCCTCAAAATTCTGTCCCGGTGTAAATGCATATTTCTAGCGATGCATTCCTTGGCGATTCTAAATACGACGAGATTGGGCAAACTCGAGATCTTGCCCTCATTTCTGACCATAGGGGAAATGAAGAATTTACTATGATGTGATCGAACCTCATGGCTACCTACATTAACCCACTTAAACAAAAATCAGGTCAAGCATTGTTCAGGTTACATCAAATAGAAAGTGCAAACATAGTCTTAAACATAGTATCTATTGACTGCGTCTGAATTGATAGGTTTTGGTCAAATCTCTCCATCCATCTCTGCAAGTATATCGGTTCCTCCTACTAGTTAGTACTCGGTGAACCATATAAGGGCCTTTCTAGTTAGGTGAAAATTTCCCTTTTGCTTCATCCTGATGTGGGAAGATTCGTTTCAGCACCCATTGCCTCGGTGTGAATTGCCTTGACCTAACCTTTTTATTGAAAGCTATTGCTAGTCTGTTCAGGTATAGTTGACCATGTCGCGTTGCGTTAATTCTTTCACCATCAATGAGAGCTAGTTGTTCATACCAGTTTCGTACCCATTCCGTATCACTGAGCTCGGCCTCTTGTATGATCCTTAAGGAAGGAATTTCGACTTTGGCAGGGATAACGGCCTTGGTGCCATGGAGCAGTAGGTAAGGGATTGCCCCAGTGGAGGTGCGAACAGTGGCGCGATACCCGATCAAAGCAAACGGTAGCTTTTTGTGCCATTGCTTGTAATTTTCCTTTATTTTCCTTAATATCTTATTGATGTTATTGTTGGAGGCCTCTACGGCTCCATTCATTTGTGGCCTGTATGTTGTAGAGTTCTGATGCTTGATCTTGAATGTTTCACATATAGCTTTCATAAGGTCACTGTTAAGATTGGCGGCGTTGTCAGTAATGATTGACTCAAGTACTCCAAATCGACAAACAATGTGGTCCCGAAGAAAATCTGCTACAACCTTTTTAGTTACAGCCTTATAGGATGAGGCTTCAACCCATTTTGTGAAGTAGTCTATAGCCACAAAAATGAACCAATGTCCATTTGAAGCAGCGGGCTCGATTGGTCGTGACCTCCATGCCCCAAGCAGAGAAAGGCCAGGGCGAACTCGTTGCATTATGATATGATACTCGTATCATATCAGCATGTATCTGGCATTGGTGACACTTTTGAACATATTTGATGCACTAGGTTTCTACAGTCATCCAAAAATACCCTGCTCTTAATATTTTCTTGGCCAAAACAAAACCGTTCATGTGGCATCCGCATGTTTTGGCATGTATTTCTTCGAGCAATCTAGATGCATCCTTGGCATCTACACATCAAAATAATCCCAAGTTAGGAGTTCTTCTATTCAGAATTCCTCCACTTTGAAAGAAATTATTGGCCAATCTTCGGAGTATGTGCTTCCGAGTGTGTATTGCATTCTCTTGATATTCTCCCTTTTCCAAGTATTTCTTGATGTCATGGAACCAGGGATTTTCGTCAAACTTTTCTTCAACAAGAGCACAATAAGATGGCTGCTTATGAATTCCTATTTGGATAGGATCGATAAAGTTCTTGTCTAGATGTTGTATCATGGAAGACAAGGTGGTTAATGCATCTACAAACTCATTTCGAATCCTTCGAACATGTTTGAACTCTATCTTTGTGAACCTCTTGATCAACTCTTGTACACAATGCAAGTACGATACTATTTTGGTGTTCTTAGTAGCCTATTCTCCTAGAACCTGGTGCACTAATAGATCAGAATCTCCGATTACCAGCAACTCTTGAATGTTTATGTCGATGGCCAACTTGAGTCCCAAGATGCAGGCTTCGTATTCTGCTATATTGTTGGAGCATGGGAACCTGAGTTTTACGGATACTGGGTAATGTTGAGTGGAATCTAATACTAAGACAGCTACGATGCCCACTCCCTTGATGTTTGCTGCTCCGTCGATGAATATCCTCCAACTGTCATATGCTTCGTTAATATGTTCTCCTACAAATGGTACCTCTTTGTCGGGAAAATACGTCTTCAATGGTTCGTATTCTCCGTCTACTGGATTTTCTGCCAAGTGATCAGCCAATGCTTGCCCTTTGACTCCCTTTTGAGTTACATAGACGATTTCGAACTCACTCAGCAATATCTGCCACTTAGCTAACTTACCCGTAGGCATGGGTTTCTGAAAGATGTATTTTAGCGGATCCATCCTTGATATGTGATATGTAGTGTACGCATAAAAATAATGTCTCAATTTATGGGCTATCTATGTCACATAGCAGGTGCGTTCCAACAAAGAGTACCGAGCTTCGTAAGGCGTGAACTTCTTGCTCAGATAATATATCACCTGCTCATTCGTTTCAGTTTCATAATGTTGTCCTAGAACGGAACCAAATGCCCCATCCAACACGGACAAATAAAGCAGTAGTGGTATTCCTGGTTCTGGTGGGACCAACACAGACGGTTTAGATAAATACTCCTTGATTTTGTCGAAGGCTTTCTAGCATTCTTCAGTCAGGCTTGTTGCACCATCTTTCCTCGGCATTTTGAAGATTGGATCACATATCATTGTTGATTGTGCTATAAAATGGCTGATCTAATTGAGGCGCCCTAGAAAACTCATCACAACTTTCTTATTCTTTGGCGGTGTCAAGTCTTGGATAGCTTTGATTTTTTACGGGTCTAGCTCAATACCTTGGTGGCTGACATAGAAACCTAACCATTCTCTAGCATGGACTTCGAAGGCATATTTTTTAGGGCTCAACTTCAAGTTGTATTTTTGAAGTCGATCTAAAAATTTCTTCAGGTTTTCTACGTGATTTGAACTCCTTTAAGATTTGATGATAACATCATCCACGTACACCTCTATTTCCTTGTGTATCATGTCGTTGAAGATAGTCGTCATGGCCATCATGTAGGTGGCCCCATCATTCTTCAAACTAAACGGCATTATTTTGTAACAATATATTCCTCATGGTGTGATAAAGGCGGTCTTTTCGGCACCCTCTTCTTCCAACAAAATCTGATGGTATCCTGCGAAGCAATCCACAAAGAATTGGAGTTCATGCTTGGCGCAGTTGTCAATCAATATGTGTATGTTAGGCAGCAGGAAATCATCCTTAAGACTTTTTCTGTTCAGATCTCGGTAATCGACATATACTCTAACTTTCCTATCTTTCTTTCGAACCGGCACAAAGTTGGCTGACCAGGTCGGGTATTCGACCATGAAGAGAACCTTGTCTTTGATTTTCTTGGTGACTTCCTCTTTTATCTTCAAACTCATATCTGGCTTGAACTTTCCGAGCTTCTTCTTTACCGATGGACACATGGGATTGGTGGGTAGCTTGTGAGCTACTATGGATGTGCTTAACCTAGTCACATCGTCGTAGGACCATGCGAAGATGTCCTCGTATTCCTCTAGTAACCATATATACTCTTCTTTCTGTGACGGTGATAGATGTGTGCTTATATGAGTTTCCTTGACTGTTTTGGAATCCTGCATGTTAACGGCCTCAATTTCCTCCAAATTAGACTTCGGTTTATTTTCAAAATTCTATACTTCTTTGACAATTTCCAGAGGTATTACATAATCTTCCAGATCTTCGGAATCACTATCCTTATGTTGTGTTGTCTCATTACATGTCACAGTCGTAGGTTCATCGGGATATATAATAAGTATACTGAAAAGAATGTAGAAAGATAATAATAAATATGAAAAGCAATAATGCATTAATAAAACTTTAAATTTTCAACAAGTACGACTCGATGGCTTGAATAATCATTTCAAAACAAAACACTGAAAATGTCTTAAATGGTCAAACAATTTGAAAATAAGTCATGCTAATTTGCTAGGCTACCCAAGAACTTGGCGAGCCCGAGATGGTGCAACGGTCCAGTTCTTGAGAAGATATCCCTCTTCCATTATTTGAATGGTAAGGTCTTCCTCCTCCTCCTCCTCAATAATTGCACCGTAGTCCATGTCTTCTTCATCCAGAAAAAGTTTCCTCATGCCAGCCACAATCTCATTTTCCTCAATTCCCCACATTATGTCAGCCTGATGGAATGTTTGGTACAGAGGTGTTATGGATTATTCCAGTGGATAATAAGGGGCGCGCCATGGCGATGTCCCATCCTGATGTTCTTGCATGGTATATTATACCAAAGTCCAAAGGCAGTGCCATGATTTTTTGGTTTTATGGGTTTGGTGATCCCCTAAAGCTTTTTACCAAGACCATTGCCCAGTTCATATCCTGTCCACAACAATATGCTTTCTATCTTGTTTCTCCACCATCGATCATTGTTTATGGTGTTAACCCGTTCAATGCGATGATATGTTTCTCCACCCAACTTCTTCCTATATTTGATGACTGGAACGGTCTCATTGGTGTAGATCGCGTTGCTTACATCTCCATGAATAGAAGCCACTGCCCCAACTACATGTATCTATGGCCGTCCCAACACTAGGTTGTTAGTAGCCAATATGTCTAGCACTTGGAACTCAACATCAAACCAAGTCGGACCTATTTGTAGATCAAGGTTGATTTCTCCGATAGTGGCTCTTTGAGATCCACCGAATGCCTTCACATTCATGCTTCCCATTCGTATCTCGCGCAGGCCCTCACTTAATCTTTTCAAGGTGGTCAATGGACATATGTTCAGACTCGAACCTCCATCTTTCAGGACCCTGGCAATGACCTTGTCCTCCAATTGCGCTGTGATGTGCAACGCCTTGTTGTGACTCAACCCTTCTGGTGGTAACTCATCTTCATGGAAAGTAATTTTGAGACTCTCCAGTACCTGTCTGACCATGTTAGCCATCTCTCATTTAGCAATGTCGGCGGGTACATAAGCTTCACTCAACACTTTTATCAAGGCATTCTTCTATGCATCGAAGTTTTGCAATAGTGATAAGATAAATATCTGAGTGGGAGTCTTGTTCTAGTGGTAAACAACGGCGTATTACCTTGCTTGTATCTTCCTCCAAAGGTCATCAGTGCCAGCCTCAACAGCACACGGCTTAGGTGAAGCTTCTTTGCTCGTTCCTCCCAGATTCTCGAGAGTAAACTCTGCCTATTCTAGTCATACCTTGCACGACACATGTTTCTTCCATCTTGGCTTTTCTTTTTCTTCTTGCCTCCGTGACATAATCCCATGGGACCGCATCAGACATGTAAGATGGTGTGGGAGCTACCATTACAGTGAAGGGTGTAGCTACCTCAACATCAAATGGTGCCTAGGTTTCTACCACAACTGACGTGAGGGTGGGGGAGATGTTTTAGGAGTGTCACCCTCTCGAATGAGTCCGATGGACCCTTCTTGATCCTATTCCTCGTCATACTTTATCACGTTCAATCCCTCACTTCTGTGATCCAGGACAGGGTTATTGCGGACATTCGGTGCAGCTTTCTTTGCTTGTATAACCTTAATGTTGATCAGCGTCTGAATCTTATCTTTCAACGTGCGTCATTCCTCAATAGTTTGACCCTCCATGCCTGAATGATAAGCACATGTTTTGTTGGGGTTGATCCATTGGAAAGGATTTTCCACCACAACAGCAGGAATAGGGGTGACGTAACCAGCGGCCATCAGTCTCTCATACAGTTGGGCTATGGCTTCAGCAATTGGGGTGTATTGTCTAAGAGGTCTGGGGTAGAAATTTGGACGTGACTTTGGGTAGTTTTGGCGGGCAGGTGGAGGTGAATGGTAATATGTAAGTTGAATGGTGTAGGTATTGTAGGTCGTGGCAGGGTATTGGTATTTTGGGGTGAGGTTTGATGTGTGGGTGGAGGTGTTTGGTATGTGAGGGGAGACTTAGGGCTCTAGGCTACCATCACAGCACCCACCTCTTTCTTCTTTGAAATACATCCTGATTGCAAGGCTTTATTTGTGGCTTTCCGCGCCTTGAAATTAGTCATTATCCCGCTCTTGATTCCTTCTTGTATTCTCTCTCCCAACTTGATGATGTCTGAGGACTTGTGATTCTCGATGACCATCAATATTTCATAATATTGGGGGTCTTGACCTCTAACAGAACTTGTACATTTGTTCTTCTTCGAGCGCTAGATTTACCTTTGGGGCCTCTAATCTCCAATGAGTAGCATACTCACGGAAGGTTTCTATCAGCTTCTTCA